ATTTTGCCATCACACTTGATGGCTCAAACACAGAATTTGTGATCTCAGGAACAGAGTGTTGTTCATGGTAGGCCTTCTCCACTGAGATAATTGGAGCATACGAAGAGAGCATGAAGTGTATCCGGGGATAAGGCACAAGGTTGGTCTGGAACTCAGTTATGTCAACATTAATGGCTCCGTCAAACCTCAGCGACGTGGTAAGAGATGATATAACTTGAGATATAAGCCTGTTCAGATTGGTGTATGTTGGACGCTCAATGTCAAGGGACCTCTTGCATATGTCATAGATAGCTTCATTGTCAAGAAGCACAACAACATCGGTGTGTTCAATCAGGGAATGTGTGGAGAGCACGCTGTTATAAGGCTCGACCACAGCAGTTGAGATCTGCAACAGGAAATGGTTTCAGTACAGAGTTCTTGTACGTTACAATGACAGGTAAACCTCCTTTGCAAGCTGTTGCTATCTGATTGAGAAGGCAAGTCTATGCCTTTAGCTAGGTATACGTAAATACTAATGTTGCAAATTAACTCTTTTTTACTCCCTCTTGTCCCAAGCATACAGGTTTAGATATTGTACTATTAACCACTATGTGGGCAATAACAAGAATGACTGTTCATGGTGACAGGTCATAAACATTGATATGAATATTCTTCACTCACACCTTTTCACTGTCTAGGCATATATGGTCTCGCATGATATCCGGGCTTTGAGTCTTATACTTAATATACGGTAAATCTCATGAAGATACTTTGAGAGTTATTTTTTACTACAATCAATGATAAGTGGATGTAGGCCAGGGAAGGATATATTTCTGTATGCAAGCTATGTCTTATTGCAAGAACAAATAGAGTTCTGCTCACCTAGAGATCTATGTTTGAATATGAGTACTTGGAAAGTAGCTATTGAAGTGCCTGAACCGTGACTTGGGGGTCTTGGTGGGTTTCAACTCCAGGCTACCCCAACTTGCTTGGGACTGAAAGGCTATGTTGTTGTTGTTGTTGTTGTTGTATCACAGCTCTCCCAGAAACATGACAAAAACAACATACTAGGTTTTTTTTTGGGACGGAAAAAACAACATACTAGTTGCTAGTTGGAAAGAGATGGTAAACGTCTGACATAATTAGATTAGCTTTTCAAGGAAAAAAACTGAAAGGACTTATCTAGAATTTTCTTATAAAGTTACTATCAAATATTTGATTTAGCATTTTATTAAATTTGAGATTTTTGCTATATTTCAAAACTGATGACAAGATGGACTTTTCTGTTTCGTAGTCTTGCCAAATCATGATTCAGATCTACCATTGAAGTGATTTCTTTTTGATATTCCACATTGAATACTACAATTCTTTTCTTGAGACGGTAATTCAGTCTGTAATTAATTGCCCACAAAGAAACATGAGCTACTTTCGGCTGCGGCTTCAAAACTGCAAACTACTGTAGTACAGTGCTAGTGCAGCCGCAGCCAGCTGAAACGAGCGGGCTTGTTGACTGCATAAGTAACTATGATGACCAAATGATGCATACATAAATGGTCACAAATTATCATTTTGATACCTGTGGAGAAGGATAGATGGTGAAACCGAGCTTCGACTTCCTACCATAATCTACTGATAGACGCTCTAAAAGTAGCGAACCAAGGCCAGAGCCAGTTCCACCACCAACAGCATTGAAAACCAGAAAACCTTGAAGACCAGTGCAGTTGTCTGCCAATTTTCTTATCCGATCAAGGCAAAGATCTACTACTTCTCTTCCAACTGCAGCAGAAAAACATATTGTAAAACTTCGGATATTACTCAATCCCCAAACAGGATAGTAGTTATTAATAAAGAGCAGAAAACGGTTCCAAATCATTGTAATCCTTTTTAAAAATAAGTGCCCCAGGTAAAGAAAGTGATGTTTCTTGTATGATATGAAGTCATGGACAATACTACAGAAATCATGGCATAGGATGGTTGAATGTTTAAATTATAAGATTCTGACCCCTATATAATATCCAAACTGTTGTGGATTAGTTCTACCTGCCACTTGCTAGTACCATTCAAACACACAAATTTGTTCTTTACGCATTTGCAATGCACCAAAATTCAAGGTAGGGCTTTCAAACCCCAAAAATTATTGTACTCAGTTCAATGTTGCATTTTAAATTGCAAAAAACATTTTCTGTTCTCTAGGAAATGGCTCAGGGTGAGGGACAACATGTCACACCTGTGTAATGTCCACGAGCAAAGTTGTTTGCAGCATCTTCCTTGTGTGAGATGAGCTGCTCAGGATGGAAAAGCTGGCGGTACGCCCCGGTCTTCACCTCGTCAATCACAGTGGGCTCCAAGTCGACAAACAAGGCCCTTGGAACGTGCTTCCCTGCGCTCGTTTCACTGAAGAACGTGTTGAATGCATCCCTCGCAATCCCGAGAGAGGTGTCACTGCAAGCGAACAGCCTAGGTTGAGAAATTGGATGCTGTAAAATAGGTGAGTTGGACACAAAAATCGGTAGCATGTCACATGCATATATCCTCCTTGTTTCAGAAAACATGAGCTTCTTTAATATGCAGTGCTTTTTTATCCAATCATGCCCCTTTTTTAACTTTTTAAGCAAGTGGTTTTGAACGCAGGGGTGTCATCAACGTGTAAGAAAAGATTTTTAGAGGTCAGAGCATCCAACAAAGTATCTCTAGCATTTACTTCGGGTTGTGATCCACAAGTAAAGATTGTCCTCAGGATTATGAATATTCCAGGATTATGTCCAAAATCCAACCTTTTTGGGGCTACTGCTACAAGAACCCAGAAGACAGCCCTATCTGAAATAATTATCTGAGCTTGAATCATCTCAGATAGATCAAAATTCGACAGAATTCTTAAGGAAGGATGAGATAAACAGAAAGTGCGGAAATTGGAACGGAAAAGGACCTCACCTGGGCATGAGGCCATCAGGTTGGATACCGTGCTCGAGGCAGTAGAGCTCCCAGCAAGAATTCCCTACCTGGATGCCCGCCTGCCCGATATGGATGCTGATGATCTCCCTCATCTCCCTCCCTTCCTGACGCTCTCTCGCTCTGCCTCTGAATCAGGTTATGCAGCCTCGGGAGTTCAGAAGCAGTTATCCCTGCACAGGGAAGAAGCCTGAGGACCGAAAAGGTCTGCACCACTGCACACGGAAGAAGGGCGTGCGGCAGGGGTAGAAGGGAAGAAAAGAGGACAAGGCAGCGTAGCGGCGTCAACCGGAACGTTCTTCGGAAAGCAGACAGCGACCGATGGATTGCGCTACACTACACACGTCGGACGGAAAGCGACCCGGACGGACAAAAATCACTAGGTGGAACTGTGAACAACAACTGCTGCGATGACTCCTATATATAGGGCCTACGGCACTGGAGATGATGATCGTCTACTCCAATCTGTCTGCTATGCTATGGTGGCAAACCTGGCAGCAGTGTTGGAATTATTTCCTGGCAATCTTGTCGTAGGTTTTTGCTGCGACAGGGTTAAACAAGTGCAAGAATTCCACGTTTTTGAGGCGCTGGATTTTTTTTTCCCGTTTAAGTGGAAAATGACTCTTTTCGGTGAAATCTGTATTGTCGCATATCCTTGTTGGGAAAAAAAAACACATTATGTCTGACACATAAGTTGTATCCTTGCCTATTTGGGTTTCTTCTTTCGTGTACTGGTCCAAAGGTCTATGTCGAGTGTGGAAATTGAGCTGCTGATCAGGCCTGGTTTAGTTCCAAAAAATTTCACCCCAAACTATCACATCGAATCTTGCGGCACATGTATGGAGTATTAAATATAGACGAAAAAAAACAAATTGCACAGTTTGGTTGGAAATCGCGAGACGAATGTTTTAAGACTAATTAGTTCATAATTAGCTATAAGTGCTACAGTAACTAACATGTGCTAATGATGGATTAATTAGGCTTAATAAATTCATCTCGCAGTTTCCAGGCGAGTTATGTAATTAGTTTTTTTATTAGTATCCGAAAACCCCTTTCGACATCCCAAAACATCCGATGTGACATAAAAAATTTTCATTTCGCGAACTAAACACAGCCTGATATCTCTTGTCTAGACCACAATATTTGGTAATAAAAAATGACCGCACTTCGTTTTCACCATCCATTCCAAATCAAGGGCCATCGTCATAACCAGCAGGACACTGCCTTCATGGTAATCCATGACAGGACGCTATTACGATGGCCACGCCACCAATGAGCACAAACAACAGGGGCCGGGTCCTGCCAGCTGCCATGCTGATGATCTCTTGAAGACATATTGTTTCGTCAATCTTCATGACTACTCACTCTGCAACCAAGCGACAAAATGAATGGTTTGCCACTAATTAGGGTCCCAAATCTTCTGATATCTGATCGAACAGCGACAACGAGGGGCATCATGCATTTTCGAGTGCTGTTATGCTGGCTGGACAGTGAGGTACTGAGGTGTAAACTGCAGGAAGAGTAGGAAACCCCGTGAAGCTACCAGGGACAGCATCGTCATTTCTGTTTTGCACCACAAATTCATCTCCAGAGACGTCGGATTTCAACATCACAATCAAATAGCTAGACGAAAAAAATGTAGACTTCTGAGTCCTAATCTCACCCCCCCCCCCCCTCTTTACGTCAGTACTTGAAATCATCAAGTCGAATATCAAGTACATGTGTGCCACTCATGTATTATTGGACAAGCCAACAGAAAATCTACTAATTATTCTTTTTTTCCAATTTCGTTTAACTTGGGAGTTGGGAAGTTTTTAGTGCAGAGCTAATGATGCACCTGTTACTTCATGACACGAATGAGAAAACCAAGATGAAACCAAAGATGGTCATGTCACATTGGGGATGCGTTGGTTTTATTGTGTTCTTGATTCATCCGGACCTCGATCCGAAGATCGATGCCGAAGGTTCTTGCACCAAGCTCCGACTCCCTGTCTGCCCCTGTATGACTCCCTGCACTGCATATCCAGTTTCAGTCTATTGCAGGAAGCAGCAAAGCTATCTCTACGAGGCTGCTACTGCGACAGGTGGCACATGCGCGGGTGCATCGGGCACCACAGCGGCTGGATCGGCTCGGCGCGGATGCCGCGCGCCACCATGCGGTGTCTCCACTCGTTGAGCCGGACTGTGGCGTTGGCGTACCGCTTCCTGCCGTTGGAGCCCTTGTTCCCGGACCAGAGCGTCTCGGCGGCGGCGGAGGCCCTGGGCCAGAGCCTGCCGTCCAGCACTGTGGCGTCCGACTGCTCCGACCACAGCGCCACCTCGCCGCCCAGCACCCTCCTCGCCTCGTCCTCCGTCAGCCCGTGCAGGATGTCGTAGTCGTAGATGCGCTGCCACGTTTTGAAGGGCGCGCACCAGAACCCGCCCGTGGCGCCGGGGTCGTTGAACAGCGGCATGCCGTCGTGATCCTTCTCCTGCACGTCGTAACGGCTGTCGTTGCCCACCCAGCCGCCGTGCCCGCAGTCCAGGTAGTAGTAGGACGCGGAGGACACGATGGCGCGGTACCCGGCCGCAACGATACGCTTGGTGTTCTCGGCGCCGTTGTTCCACGTCTGCAGCACGGTGGTGTCGTGGGGCAGCACCGTCTGCCCGACCGACACCTTGGGCCCCAGGAGGACGTCCTCCCAGTACACCGACGTGCGGTTCAGCTCGTGCACCAGGAACGGCCGCGTCGCGTTCAGGAACAGCTCCAGCAGGCGGTCGTGGGAGCCGCCATCCGCCAGGAAGCCCCGCACCACGGGGTCGTCCTCCCAGCACGCCGTGTTCACCTCGTCGGCGCCCGCGTGGAGGTACGGGTCCGGGAACAAGGCCGCCAGGTCGCGCAGCACGTCCTGCGCCACGCGGTACGTCTTGGGATTGAGCGGGTTCAGCTGCCCCGTGCAGGGCTCCGCTGCCAGCGCCGGCTTCGCCGTCGGCGCCCAGAACTTGTTCGCGCAGGTCACGATCTCCGGGTACGCGCCCGCCCACGACCCCGCGTGCCCTGAAGTCTTTGCGTTGAAGATTGCAACCATAGAAAAGAGCAAATGCAGGATCCAGTACAGTATTTTGGAATCAGGTCTCACTCACCTGGCATGTCGATCTCAGGTCTGAGCAAATGCTGATTGTCAAGAACGACCGTGATTTGTAGCTGGAATAGTATTTTTCTCTCACATAAACTAACCAGCAGTATTTTTTCACGAACTAACAACGATATGAACCAACCAACCGAACATGGCTGTATATCATTTCCTAGTTATTAGGAAATTAGATTTTGAGGAAAAACTAACCTTCAATAGGTTTTCTAAATGGTCATCTAATTATAACCATTTTCTATTCCACATTTTTCACTAGCCAAAAATAGAAAACGAGAATGGCTCTCTAGAGTGCGCATGAGATATAAAAAACTATTGAAGACTGAAAAGATATAGAAAGCGATTTTTATACAAATAGCTCTCTAAATGATGATTTAGAGAGTGAGATTTAGAAAGGTTCTTGAAGATGCTCTAAAGTATAAGTCACCTAAACCTGATTTGTTGTGAGAGAAAAACACGATACACAGACTGATAAACCAGACTGATAAGTTCAAGCGAATTATAGAACGATAATTATTTCCGCTACGAAAAGGTCACGATTATAGAACAATCCTTAGTTTAACTAGGGGGTGTTTGATACAAAGGAATAAACTTTAGTATCAGTCACATCGGATGTTTAGATGTTAATTAAGAGTATTAAATATAGACTAATTAAAAAATAATTTACATATATGGAGGCTAATTTGCGAGACGAATTTTTAAGCCTAATTAGTCCATGATTTGACAATGTAGTGCTACAGTAAAGATGTGCTAATCATAGATTAATTAGCCTTAATAGATTCGTCTCGCTAATTAGTCTACTCCTGCGTAATTAGTTTTATAATTAGCCAATGTTTAGTCCTCCTAATGACAATACCTCTTAAATTTGTAAATGTAATACTAAATATTTATAATAAAAATATATATTTCACAATAAGTTAAGATGCGCCAGCATTAGACTTGGGACGGGCGCTGGAGGAGTTTGTGCGAGGTGCCAAATAGAGATGAAAGCTGGTCATTGGGGTTATCTCTATATCTTATAATTTATCATATTAAACCTCACTATCTATTAAACCTCACTATCTATAATATTCGAGCTATTCACCTCAGCGATGTACTGTCACATGCAATTAAAATCCACTAGCACATGTAATTGTTAAGTTTACGTCAGCAAGACACACAAACATTTTGTTGTCCACGTCAATGTACCACACAATTCACTACCACTAATTTATAATATTTTATTTCTTCGTATAAATAATTATTCTAAATTCATTTTTTCATCAGTCTAGTTTCCTTCGATATCGTAGGCAACAGTAAGCTAGTTGATTATGTGAGTTTGTTGGCTAACTAGGCAATGACTTGTGCTTATATACTAGATATATATTTTTTATCTTAATCATGCGTACTCCATTAAATACTAGAGAATACCCTTGCCGCCGTCCATAAATATGGTCATGCTTCATGCATTGTAACCAAAGAAAAAAGACCTCATACGCCCACTAATCCGGCAGTGTCATAAACTCATAATAGTAAGGCCCTGTTTGTTTTCGCTGAAATTTGGCTTACGCTGATTTGTCGTGAGACGAAAATACGGTTTGTTCACTAAAAAGTATTCGCTGAAGAATAGGACGTAAATTGTAGCATCGCTTTTATCTCACTAATCTAATTGATAACATGTATATTTTTTGATAAGCTACAATTATCAAATAACCTCTGCAATGTTTTTATATCTCTACAACTAAAATATTCCTAAGAGAAACGTTGACAGACGTGCGAAACAGATCATCGCTCGCCCCCGCTCCCTACGTGCGAAACAAAACCTTCCTCTCGCTCGCTTGCTCGAATGACCGCGCCGCACCATGCCGCCCCCAGTCACGCCCGGTCCGCAGCCGGCCCAACCCCTCCCACGCAGCGCCGCCGACCGATGCAGTTCGCCGCTGCCCTGACCTGCTCCCCGATCTTCTCCACGGGCGCTCGCACAACCGCACCCCACCCCCACACAACCCATCCGCCTCCCCGCGCCTCTCCCCCGATCCGCCTCCCTGCGCCCCTCCTCCGTCGCCTCCGTTGCGCCGCGCCATCGCGCCGCGGCCACGGTTCTACCGCTGTGAGAGCTGTTATTGTCAAATATTTTGCAAGGCGGCGCGGGCGGCACGGGCGCGGATCCTCGCCACGGCAGCGGCGCTCGCCCCCCACAGTTTGTGCCTTGCTGCGCGGCCACGCCGTACCCGCGGAACCAGCACACACTGACGAGCACCGCCCGCCGATGGCCGCGACCTGCCCGATGTCCAGCTCGCCTAATCTGATGAGGACCATCTCGCTTGGATCTCCCTCGCCGCTCGGACGTGCCCTCACCTTTCCGTCAAGCAGCATCGCCAGGTCCGGTTGTGGTTGTGGACTACCCTGTGCCCTCATCAAGGTGAGGTAATATGCGAATCCTATCGAAACAATAAATTAGGATGCTCGTCATGTCTGTAGTATTAGCGTTAGATTTTCTACTAGGGGAGAAATCAGTATTACGGTTTGTTCTGAAGTGCTTCAATGATGAAAGAAACTCATGCAAAGAGAACCACAAACCAGGGCTTAGAGTTAACAATATGTGTACTTCTACCTCTCATTACCAGATTAAGCAACACATCAGAGGCTCTCGTGGCTGCTATTGTCGCAAATGAGTTATTAGGCTATAAATTTTGCACAACAAACAGTGGATTCTTAACAATATTTAAGCTAACTAAATATTGCGAAGTGCTGGAAGCCATTGATTTGAGCTAATTAATGTAGCATCTTTCAGGGGGAGAGTTTCTATAAAAAAAAAGGGCGTACCCAGTGCAGAAAGCTTCCGCTCTGCGCGGGGTCTGGACAAGGATGTTAGTGGCAAGAGGGGGAGAGTTTCTATAATCCTTATAATTCCTCAAGTGAAGTGCTGGAGGAATTGAATAACAAAGGCTTGATCAAGGAGAATGAGGGTGTCTGAGTTATATTTATTCAAGGTCATCCAATTCCTTTGATAGTTTTGTGAGATTCCTGGCAGTACCAGCACAAGATTTCTGACTTGGGAGATTTTAATTCTGGAGATCATACCAAGGCATATGAAACTCATCTAAACGCTGAAAAGGTCTAAGACTGAATGTGTCGGTATTGCTCATCTGCATAAATACAAAACACCTGGCAAATATATGATTCCTGATTCCAGTAACTGATAACCTATGTTTTCTGTCTTTAAACTTGGGTTATTAGACTTGTCCTTGCATCTTTGGTAACTTTGTATAATATTTTTAGTTTACAATTCATATGTTGTGGTAATATACACTGTTGTGACTTGATATTCCTTACAACAGGAGTTATTTTTTCTAAATTATGTCTGAGAAGAATACTGATGGATGTTAAGGGATTGAGCTGGAATGAGGCATGGAGTATTACATAAAGGTATTTGCTCTGGAAACATCTACCTCGAAAATGCTTGGTTATAGATGTGACCACTAATGTTGAAAAAAAATTATTATACAGGTTTTGATCAGTTAAGATGGACTTCCTTATTAGTTTTGCTTTTTTTTTGCGTGAATCATAAATATATCTCTATGAATCATAAATATATCTCAGTGATGCTTAATAACTTAACATATCTGTCGGTTGGTTATTTGATTTGCATTGTTATATATTGCCGTAGCGATAGCATGGGCCTTATACTTTCGCTAATTTGCAAAACGGGGAGTACCTCCGATGGGAGGCAATATCAAGATGATTGAAGAGTCACTGAAGCTGGCGTACGGAAAGGATCCTGGCTTCGTCAAAGGGCATGTTCGCTGGTTGGTGCTGGTGCTAGTTTAGGCTGGCTGGTGCTGGTTTTTTGTGAGAGGAAAACACTGTTGGTTGGCTGGTTTAGGTTGGCTGAAACAAACAAGCGAACAGGCTGTAGATAAGAGGATAGCAACGGTGCAGGTGCTTTCAGGCACTGGTGCCTGCCGTCTCTTTGCTGATTTCCAGAAGCGCTTTTCGCCAGATTCGCAGATCTACATACCAACACCAAAGTGGTCCAAGTGAGTTGGCATCTTGCTGTGACCCCAAATGTTATTTGATTATTTCATTTACTTCTCAGGAAGAAAAGGGAGTGAAGTAGAGTTATGGAGATGAGTGTGCACTGCACTCCCTCGCAATTCGTTTGGGAGCGAACGAGAGTTAATCTCAACTTATTTTTACTGTATCTGTGATAGAACCAATTTGTTAATCAGGTATAAGATTTGCTGCATTCCTATTTTGGATTTGAACTATTGTGGTTTGATTTTTTGGAAGCTTTGGTGTTGCTATTTTTGGAATAAAAAATCAGCTGCTCCAACTAATTTATGTAGGCATGCGCATGTCGCACAGTGAATGCCTGCTCATCATAAAACTTTGTGTTTAAGTCATTTAACTTTGTTAAAATATGTTCAATATAGTTAATTAGCTTTGGACTTAATACATCACACGTCGATACATATTTTTTTAGATATTAAATGGTACTTTAACTTTAAAAATTAACAAACAACTTATATGTAGGATACTTCTAACTACAGCTTCAGCCATCTGCATGCTTCAACTGCAAGAAGTCAGACGCCGCATCTTGGACTAGAAAATCTTCTGGATCATCATTGATTGGTGACCAACTGCAGCTTAGTATTCGTACAAAGCATGTTCTCTTAGTCGAACTATTGAGAGATGTAATATTGATTGGTACATTATGATTGCGGTATCTATTTTAGATAACAGTATAACGCACGCTCATACATATGTTATCATGGTATTATGTGTTCCCATTGCAACGCACGGGTATTTACCTTGTTCATTTATAATATAGACAACATTCCATAGATTTTTCTAGTTACATATTTAGAGTTACGAAGTCGTATGTTGAAAACAGACGCACACCAAATATTGCCTTTAGAGAAAGCAAATCTTATTTTCTACTATTTCATATCTTTATATCTTTATTATACCCTCTTTCTTGTTTAACAATAATGTGAGATATTTGACGCGCTCAAGATGA